CTGTCCATGCAATTCTATGGATTAATAATTAACATTCGAAAGCTGAGGAAAAACTGATTTACAGTGAAGTACCGGTAACTACATGTATTACCGGTATATCCTTCTTTTCACATGTTTTATCATTCATTATAACAATAACAAATTAAGGAAGCAAGCACCACTCGTTTGGTCTTCCAGTTTCCCTACTTCCTATCATAAATGTTGGCCTTGTGGTTATCCGTTGTTGATTTTGCAGAATCTTGCCTTTTGATATTGCCTGTCAACTTTCCTTTGTAGTGTATGCTCAGTATTGTCAACAATAGTAGAAGCCTTGATGCATTCATCACATGCACTGAGTGTCCATATGCTGGATGATAAATCCACCTTTTTGCTTAAATTGAAGCCTTCAGATGTACCGGTGGGTCAGAAAATGAATATCTTTTGTCTAAACTACCCTTATTGTTGACAAAACATCAACAGCGCCCCAAAATGACAATTTTGTTTCGTGATTTTTCATTTGTTTGACTCTGATTGGCCTACCCCGTTTAAATCATTCTAAACTGACAGCCATTTACTTGGTGCCTTGAAGGTTATTTATAAAGGGGCGATGTGTTTACGCGGAGAAGGGCCATGTGTGCATCTTAACTATGGAGATCACCGCTTGTTTGTGTCTGAGAATGTAGATCATTCTGTCCAAGTGCCAGAAGTGAGACTTGGCTGTATAATGAATTCAATCAAAACGGAAATCATAAATTTGCGTTCGTACTATGTAAACAAAATCAACGGAACAGAAACACCAAAATGGAGCAAATACTCTACACATAAAGGTATGCAAACTCTTGTTTCACAATCCACAAATAAGTACCGGTAGATTACATATGGGAATCTGTGAATACATTGTACGTGTACAGAAACTGAAACTGTGGTACACTGTACTTATTGCAAGCATCATGAAGATTTATATAATCAGTAACACAGATATTGTGTTTGATGGGGGGAAAAGGCATAGCAAAAGAACTACTCGACATACATGTAAATACATGTACATGTATGCACATGTACCGGTACTGCACAAAATGTACATTATTATGTATGTTTATATTTTTGTATGATACCGGTACATGTACATGTACAGTATACACATTGTAAGGGGCTTTACATGTAGTTAGGCCCAAACCCAACTTTTAGTTTGTAAAATGTACATTTTATGTACTATATCAAGGATTTTATTTCTTTTGTGTCCAATCATAATATGCGTACATATGCAAAATCTGCAGATACCGGTACATTGTACACACGTGCATAAGAAATAAGATACATGTTCCAAACTGAACAATTTATGGTAGTCTTCATTATTAATGTGTGTGCATGAATTTTATGCACAACATGTACCGGTTCTTGTACATGTTGACGCACATGGCTCTGTGTCTAGTCGAACAGTCTACCGGTAGTTAAACACTAGACTGTACAGGACAGACACAAAAACGTACAGACCGCTAGAAATACATGTACATGGTTGTACATTACATACTGATACACACAGTACAATGTACATGGGCGTGTTCAGCTATTCAAACCATGGACGAAAATGACAGAGAGCAAATGAGAACAATATCGTCCGCGATTCCCAGCATACATCCACGATTGGGATCGTGTACAAAACCTATGGGTGTCTTCCTAAAAAATTAGAGTACTAACAGGGGCAATAGGACGTCCACGGTGGGAGGTCGATACATGACTGTACCATGTGCTACATGTGTGTTCTGACATTGGATGCTGAATAAGTGGGCAATATCCATTTTATTTAGTTAATCAGTGCAAGCGGGGAAAGGCCTTTCATTCTCTTTCAAGGGATTATGGCATGTTTTGTATGGGACAAAATCATGTGCATGCCATACATGTTTAGAACAAATTGTAATGTCCACCATGAATATGACCATTATTTCCACAATACAGTAGTTGACTGGTAATAACGCTTATGTGCCTTTTATTATTTCCTTTTTGTAATGGCTTGTCAGGCCCAATTTTTGACCCCATAATCATCAGGCAAAAGATAAAAGCTACAGTATCACAAATCAAATTATTAACAACCCCCCAGGATGCCTACAAGTTGTCGTCAAGGCAACACATTTACGTCCGTGCACCAAACAGCACTTCAGCATCCTTCACATTGGAATGTTAAATGAGCATTCAGATGTAACACGACTTGGTTATGGATTGCCAAGCCCATGTACTTCAAAGCAAAAAAAAAATTGAAAAAAAAAATTAGCAACCGCAAATATACATTGTGTACAAAGGTTAAACAGCGGAACTCAAACACAATGGATAGTGCATTACTTTTTGCTCAATGTACATGTACAATGTACGTGTACGTGTACATGTACATTGGAAGTCAATGGCAATTTTAATAAGAACACATACGTTAGTTATTGTAATTGTATGCGCTAGATATCAGAAATATGTACATGTAAATGTAGACCTACTAAGTACTATGTACCTAACACCAGTCAAAAGCTGAAATGTACATTGTGGGAGATGGTCAACAAATTCGCAGTGCAGGACATTTGAAATTGTTCGTTTTTCCGGTCAGTAGTTTCGTAATCGTATGATTCGAGTATAGATGTTTGCCCTTTTCTTTTCTTTTTATCAATATGGTGATTTTTGGTAAGGCGGCAGAACGCTATGCCACAATCTATCAAATTAGCTCAAGTTGTCTTATGACACTCATTCAAATGGGCCGTGTTTTGTCGACCGTAAACTTGAAAGTTGACTCTCTATGGCAAACTCTTGGTGGCGCACTGCATTGTGAATCGCCCGAATTGTACAATGTACATGTACCTCTGGAAATGCAAGATTTCCACTGTTTTTGGTATCAGGTTTTTTAGCATCCAATAGATCCATAGACTAAGGGCAAGTAGAAAAAATAAATAGCTTCTCGTCCGGGCTTTTTGGAAAAAAATGAAGGAGGCGGGCACTTTTTTTCCTTCTATTTTTCAAGATGGCGGATGGATTTTTCCATTGTTTCAGCTCTTTGGATGATCAATACAAAATAGTGTCCAAAGGAGCCAGAACCCTTTTTTACAACTATTTTGTTACTGGAAACAGATAAAAAGACAACATATTGACAACATGAATTTTTTTTAATTTATGTGCGAATTAAAAAAAAAAAAAAAAAAGGAGGCGGGCAAAAAAAAAGGAAGTGGGCAGAGACGAGAAACGAGTGAAGTTGTTGACTTGGCCTAAAATTATATAAGAAAATGCAATGGATCAATTGAATTCATCAGCCATCAAGTTCGAGGGCTGTTTTGTTATGTAAATTCATTAAAAACTTTAAATCCATTCATATCCCTGTTGAACAAAAGCACATACAGTGAAATCTCGATAAGTCAAACTCTGATAACTCAAAACAACTGTTACATGGAAGTCAAACAATAATCTATTCCCTTCAGTAGTATAACAATGATATATATACAACCTTGCTTAAGTCAAAACTCTGCTTAAGTCAAATTTTGAACCTGTTCCCTTGAGGTTTGACTTATCAAGATTTCACTGTACCCCAAAAGATTGCTGCAGTCCAAACAAACACATGTACATGTACTGGTGCATGCTTTTTCTATTGCACACATTCACAATGTACTGGTTCAGTGAAATCTCGATAAATCAAACCTCAGGGGAATGGGCTCACATTTATAGTTAAGCAGAGTTTGAGTTAGCAAATGGACTTTCGTTTCAACAACATTTGATGCGAATAAGTTCTTACTTTGAGTTAAAAGAGTTTTTGAGTTAGCAGGAATTGACTTATCGAGATTTCACTGTACTTTATTCAAGCCCAAAATCCAGCGGCATTCTGGCTAGGAATTTCCCTGAATCCCCGAAAATCCACCACTGCACTGGAACCTGAACAAAAGAATCTGTTTACACGTACTTTAACTTCAAGGGTCATCAAGTCCTTATAAAGTAACAGTGACTTGGCTATATCATCATCAATCCAACAAAATTCTTTTAAAAAACACCTTCTGACGGATTTTGAAGGCTAGAAGTGTCAAAGCGGGTTCATACCTCACGTGCATGAACGCTAATACATGCAAGCCTCTGTATTGATGACGTCACACTTTGTTTACATGTGTGCTTTCTCATGGAAGCCTGGTGGGGGCCACGGTTTTGTAACCCCATAGAAAAGCATTCAGTTAAACAAAGTGTGACATCCTCATTACAAAGGCATATTTGACATCAAGAAACATTTGCAGCTAAATTTGCCCGAAATCCATTTAAAGTCTTGTGAATGTGCAGCATGAAAACTTGCCAAGACGGCACCAATTTGCATCGTTTGCATTCATACTACGAATGAATCAGTCTTCAGGGCTAGGCATGGACATTTACTGCAGGGCAATTTTAATAAATGCAGATGACTGTGAAGACAAACACTTCTTTCAGGGTTTCTAGCCTTTGATGTTGAGGCAAATGTTTCAGGCCATATAGGGAACAGCTTAACTTCAAGTGAATACGAATGGGAAGCAAATTTGATGTCACATCATGCAAAATACTTCCCATTATTCTATAAATTTGCGTTCGCATTCGCCTCCAATTCTGAACTAGCTTTAAGACACAACAAAAAACTGACTTGTTGTGAAAGCAATGGCAGTGATTGAATAATTTGGATCTAGAGAAAACAACGAAAATGGCATGATCAAGATGTTCCTTAATTAAATGAGGGATAACCAACGCCAAATCCTTCAAAATCATCAGACAGTCCTGCCTCAAAATGCATTCATCCTCAATCCTCCAAAATCCTCATGTGCTTCAATCACCATTCATCCTCAATCCTCCAGAATCCTCATTTGATTCAATCACCATTCATCCTCCATCCTCTAGAATCCTCCAAAACTGCCAGGAGGATTTTAGAGTGAGGTGGGTTAGGGTTAAATAAAGAATAATGATACCAAGGCTATTTTCCTAGTTTTTCTGGGGTGCTCTTTTGAGCAGGACTATTTAAAAAAAAAAAAAAAAATACAGTAACTCACCATATTCCAAGAAATCTGAGACAGATTTTTCCCGTCGCAGCGTAGAGTTGTGACACTCATTATAGAGAAGCAGGAAGACATCCTGGAGTGTTTCTATACTGACGACTTCACCATTGCTCTCCAGCACGCCGTTCAGGTACAACTTCTCCAGAGTCCTCAAGCGTTGCTCCGCGTTGGACGACATGGCCACCGGTCTAGTTTCAGCCTCTCTCCAAGGCTTGCTCTGCGTGCATAGATTTTTTTTTTGCGTCAGGCTCAGAGTTGTGGGGATGAGGCCTCAACAGCTGTATGAGCCTTTGGCATGATCATCCAACTGCTATCAAAGAACGTGCACGGGACTACACGTACCAAAAACACGATGTGGAGTTCTGTGGCACTTGTTATTCTTACTTGTTAATTATTACAACTCTTTTCTTTGTTTAATGTTAATGCCTACATAATGTGCACTGTACATTCCATGCTTCATAGGACGATCATATTGTATCTGATGACTTTCCCGCCAGACATCTGAAATTGAACAAAACCAAAAATGTTATGATCAAATTACAAAATATCATTGGCATTAGCACTGCTCCAGCAACGGATGGGACAGTCCTCCCTGTAGTTTGGATGATTCCAATTTGCTGTTTAGGTATAGTTGGGTTTGTAATATGGAACCAGTGTAGTGGCCCCTTTGACACTTTTTGGGAGTATGTAAAACAATGTCATCTACAATGTACAGTTCCTTCACACAGTCCATGAGGCCATTTAAAATTAATTTTTCGGTTTTCATCAACGCCCGCCACGATTTTCACACAACCCCCCCCCCCCCAATCTTTTTTATATTTATATTTTTTTAGGTGTGTATTTTCTCCAATAAAGTGTTGTTTTTTTCAGCCAAATTTCTCACAAATCTTTGGTCAACTCCGTTTCTCCAACATGAAAGGCAGGGTTTTTTTTCGCATGGCACATATAATGCATGCGGCATGCATGCATTACGCGGGCACTGGTTCCCACTGCTAGACATGGGTAGATTACAGCAAGAACGATAATGAAAGGGGCGGGAGCCAGCATGGTGCACGTCTACATTTGTAAATCATGCCCGAACAGATTTCGAAGACTCGGATGTAGGATTGCCAACGCAAACAGCGTTGGAAGCGATCGAAACCATCAAAATCTTTAACAAGTAAGTTGCATGCTATGTCATACAGTAAGGAAAGATTTCCATTTCTATATACGAAGTTCACTCAACACCCTGTGTACAAACCCTATGAGATTGGACTGAAAAATTCTACGTGTTTTCTAAGAAAATGCTTGGATTTTCTCACTGCTCAAATTGACTTTGATGACATGAAATTGCTATCTGGGGGCTTGTTAGTCAATACAGAGGAAAATTAGTGAACTTCGTATATGGAAATATTTCCTACAGTAACACTGCACTGATAGTCAGCCAACTTCAGCTGCCGTTCTACTGCAGCCGTGATGCGAGTGACACAAGCCTCATAGTTAGTGCAGCAGTAGTGCATCAAACAGTCGTTGGGTGTGCGCTTCAGTGCCAGTTGGCAAGTTTGACTAGTGCATGTGCTGTGCATGGTAATCGACCGCGCAATGCGATTCCTTTGTACACAAATTTTCTTTGTACACAAAACTCCTATGAGAACTCTGGCCAGCAATCACAACTTGATCGGTTGTCAGTAATGCGTCCTTTTTCACTGCAATTGTAGGCTGAATCTTCATCTTTCGTGGATCGTTATTTTCTTCAATAACCTGTGTAGTGGTTATGCCTGACAAGGTTTGGGTGAGTCCCAAGGGAAATTAGCGTGACACAGACACAAAATGGTACATTTTGGAATTCAATCAGTGTCAATTTTAAGAGCTGCTAATCCTTGTTCTCAATTTCCTCCAGCTCTATATGACAACCCAATGATAAAATATAGGGATGAGGTAGCTCCAACTAGCCTAGATTATACTTGAAATCCTCCACACTGCTCCAGGATGTCACTGGCTCTGCCTCAACATACATGTACGTGTACATGTACCGGTATTGACAGCTATTGGCAGAGGATTTTGCAGGATTGAGGCTGAATGCCATTTTTACATAAAGGCAGTTAGATTTTTGCAGGATTGTGGTTGTATCCTGGCAAAAAATGCATTGGGCATTAGGGTTAATGAAGGTTAATTAACAAAACTTGGCCCCTCTTTCTGCATACATGTATTTACATGTACATGTATCATTTGTATGTATTTTCTGCTTTCTTTAATTTCTCTTTGTTACCTGTAGGTCTCAATGGCCCTATCAAAAATTAAATATCGATACAATAAAAAATATGGGCATGGTGCAGAAGAATTCGGATAATTAAAACTGTTAGTGTTACTTCATCTGATCATACACAGTAGTTAAGTTGAAAATCTTACATTTGACAGAAGAACACCCTGCATGCAGATTTGAACATGGCACATAAATCATACATCAAAAATGACCAGGCGAGGAATGGCTAAACATGACAAAATTACCCCTCCAACATCATGAACATTTGTCCAACAAGTCATGCAAATTGCAAGTGAAGTCCAGCATGTCCACAGGATCCAATGGAATAGGGGGCCTATATTCAGATAGGATTAGTATAGCCTATATCCTCGACCCTCCATTATCTGCGCAGGTAAACGCTTGCATACGCGCGCATTGTTACACACAAATTGAAGGTAAATGCGTAGAAAAAGGACCGCGTGGCTTTAGGGGGTCTGACGATAGAGTCGCTGTCTTGTCCAAGTCCATGCACCGGCTTTTTATTTGACAAACAAGAGTCCATTTCTGGCACAATTGCAGAATACCCCGCCACTCAATCTATCCACCTCGTAGCCGGCTACGGAGTCACGGTTGATTGCCCTCAATAAACCTTCTCAGCACTACTTGTATGTACTATGCGTCATGCTCCACTGCAGTCACACTCCGTATCCGCGTAGCCGCCAACAGGGTAGTTGGTTTGGACTTTCTTTTCCAGTGATTCCAACCACGTAGCCAGAGATTTAGGGGTGTATTTCCGAATGGCGGGGTATTCTGCAATTACTCCCAATTTCTTTGGTATTAATTCCATTTTTACTAGGGCCTTTATCTGAAACGTAAAAATCATGGAAGTTTTAAGACTGACAGTGACAGTGACACATGAGACTGCATGCTGCCTGCAGATGCAGGTGCCCATCGCGCCGACCGTCGACCGTGTCAACATGGATGGTCAACTTGCTCGCGAAACGTGATAAATATTTCATTCCGTAACTCATCTCATCTACAAATTAACTGATTTCGAAACCACACACACCACTTGTTTGTTTCTAAATACCCGATGTTCCCATTTAACTATTATAAATTTGAATCTTTCACTGTTTGACAAGCATTTACCTCGAAAGATACGTCCCGGTGCATCAGTTTTCGGCACTTCCGACAGTAAGATGGCTGTCTGCTGTGCGGAGACCCAGACAGTATCGATAGCGATTCTCGATTTCGACGGTACCGAGTTAGGGATTATTATTCGGTATGTTTCATCACGTTGCTTTTAATATTTTCTGGAGGATTTTTTTTCCTCCACATAATACATTATGCTAATTCGGTATTTGCCAAAATCCATTAAAATTGCAGCACAATACGGAAAATTATCCATTATTGGTTTTTCAATGTTCAACACGATTTTTCCGTCAGAATACCTTCAACAAGTTTAGTGTCAGGCCAGGGATTAACTTCGGCCTCAGTGCGTGGTACGAAGTTTTGTTGGGCGTTGTATTCTGTGCAGAGTTTAAAGATTGTTTAATAACATGTGAAGAACATTTTGGAAAAATTACAGAAGAGTTATGAAAAACGTCATTCAGTCTTCTATGGGAACTAGTCTAGTTTGAGCACGGATGAATACTAGGTTAAATTTGGCATGAGTCATGGGATGTTTTCTACTTTTTTTTCTGTTGTACATGCAAGTATAAAGTTTTAAAAGTAAGACGATGAAATGATACATACAGACAAATAATAGTTTTTGTTGTTTCAAACAGTATTTCATTCCACAAGAAACTGCTCACAAGAAACCATTCAAATGCTATAGTGCGTGGTGCAATTTAAGGCGTCATAATTCAGATATTTTTTCGATACTGTTGTTCGGATTTTGTCGTATTCGTAGTAATCGGTGTATTCGGTATTCGACCTTTCCCTTCATAACTAACGCAAAGCAGTCTGGGAAAATTTTCAATGGTCGGCATATTGGGCATGCGCAAATAAATTCTTCTGCGTGACGTAATGGCTGGTGGAGCAAATAGTTATGAATATTCATGTTTGTTGGCTCCTGGAAGTTTTCTCCTTTTAAAGTTGTGTGTGTTCGTTTATTCATTTATTAATTAATTAACTATTTTTCGTTATTTTTTCCCAAAAAAGAGGTCTCTCAAATAATTATGATTGACTCCTTGAGGATGGTGATTTCTCCTTTTGCTTTTTGTGGAGATCTTTAAATACAAATATTTTCAGGAAGTTGTTATGTCCTGTTTACATAGAACGTCATGGTGGGCCTAGAAAAAATATCATATCAAAACTGGTTTTTATCTACCTGTTTAGCTCTGGAATTTAAGGGAACAAACGAGTGAAAATAATGACTGTGCAAAGCTGTTTCGCATCCGATCATGCATGCGCGCACGCGTGATGATAGCCAATCGTGTTCATTTTTTGACAGAGGGCGCTATGTACGTTTTGTGGTGAGTATATAGACTTGTCTATGGGTGAGTATTTACGGTAGTACGTCAAAATATTCCATATTAGAGAGTTCTGAGAGCGATAAAATTCAGGAATTAGAGCAATAAACCTCTGGCTCAGACTTGGGGCTTCCAATTCGGAGCATTTTGGACGCAATTGGGCCCGAAAGTTGCGCTATTTTGCCATGTTATGGGGGGATCGTTTTTCAAGATGGCTATCTAGTACTTCTTCCGTTTTCATGGTTTTGGGAAATATATAGGGGTCGTCTTCATTTGGGTGAGAATTTCTCGAAAAGTCAATGGTCAACCCACCAAAAATTTAAAAGAAAATGAAAGATGACATGTTGATCATCATTTTTCTGTGCAGCTTAATACCTGTGAGAGTTCTGAGTATTTTAAAAAGAATTTTGAAGTATGAGCATTTAGCACTGATGATGTCTATGGGAATTTAATACTAGGGTGCATCCACAATTCCACACGTCTTTTGCCTATGCTCGGAGGATCTAGAAATATCTTTTTAAAAATGAAACATAGGACACTGGAATCATTTTGTACAGGACCTGGTGCAACGCTATGATGTCATTAAATTGATCATAGGAAGGGCGCCCCTAGCGTTGGATAGGTAATCAAACGAGAATTAATGCGTTCGTTTAGCTCACCCGGGTCGACACGGGTAAAGTGGCAGCGGGTCAGCCACGACAGCCGCACTAATCGAACACTCAACCGCGGGCCATCACGATCCTCACGTGACGCCCTTAGCCGTGGCCGTAGCCACTGACAAAACGCCCGTTTTCGGATTGGGTCTTAGTTTGAGATTTACTGCTCTTTAGTCAATTGCAAAACTTTAAAAAAAGTTGGGCTGAAATTATAGCCTCAAAAGTCGCAATGAACTCAATATACCTTTAGACTTCCAATATAGTCAACTTTTAAGTCCACTTGTGATTTCCGCTGTCCGGTCGCCATATTTGTCCGTTTCTAGGGAATGAACAATGCATGCGTCCACCACTGACTCTGCTCCAGGGCCCAATTTCAATTTCAAAGTTGTGTTTAGCATAGCAGAAAAAAATTGCTAACCTTAAGCACTATTTCACGGCGTGTGTGTGCTAACGGTCGCGCATGCATGGAGATTTCTAATGTTACGTCACTAAGTTAAGCAAATTTTTCCTCTGAGATAAGCATGCCTTTTGCTGTGCTTATGCCTACGGTCTCCATGAAATAGAAGGAGGCTCTGTTAGCAGAAAAACGTGTGCTTAGCAGCGCCGTGAAATTGGGCCCAGGCCATGAGCATGGTGGCTGACCCGGGTGAGCCCGAGAATGACGTCAGAGCTAATCGAACGGCACGGGGCTGACCCATGTCGACCCGGGTGAGCTAAACGAACGCTCCCATACAGCCGTTGGGTGTTAATGTGAGCGGGAATTTCATTAATTAAAAGAACAAATTGAAACAAGAGGACGAAATGGAGAAATGAAGTCACGAATAAAGGAATAAATAAATGAACGAATAAAAGCAACGTGTTGAGATTTTTCGATGTTAGCTGAAGGGAGGAGACGGTGCAATTCTGAGAACTCAAGCAGCTTCAAAAGTAGTCTACTGCACAACCAGCATTGTTCACAGAAACCCGATGCAAATGATGAGATATTGGTTTTAAGTAGGCAGGCAGATTTTATGCATCCGCATTATCAGTGGAAGATATGAAGAACAAAATGTATGCAAAGAGAAAACACTTTGTTTTCTTCACAAGAGTATCTCTAAATTAAGTAGTCAATTTGTTTTAGAATGATCAAATGTAGATAAGGAAGCTTCTGAAAAAAATGAAATCAAACTTTGCTGAACTCAGTCAAGACGTGTTACCCAATTTCTGTTAATTGTTTTATTATTGTAATTTAAATTTCCATTATTATTATATGTAATAATAATAACTACTTCCGACAGTCAATAAGACATAAGTAATTTCGTTTTAAAAAAACCCACATCTTATTTTTTTTTATCATTATATGAATACGTGTTCATAATGTAGAACACACTGCTCATTATATGACAGGAATGTATGATCCCTTCCATTTTTGATGCATTGATAATATTAATTATTTAAAATATGTTTTCCATGCCACAAGGACATCACAAAGTGCTGTACAATTAGAAACATAGCCTTGGTCAAGGCGCTAGTTGATATTCATCCCGGCCGTAGCGCGGTCCGGTAAACGATATCCTCGCTAAAATACAGCGCGAACCCTCACGCGGCCACCATTTTTATGCAAATCAGGACCCAATCCAACCGATATGCATAAGAATAGTGACCGCGTGAGTTCGCTGTTCGCGCTGTATTTTTACTGCACTGCATGCATAGCGCTAGCGAGAATATCGTTTACCGCGCTACGGCCGGATGAATAACAACTAGCGCCTTGACAAAGGCTATCAGAACAACACAATTTCTTAAGGGGTTAAAAGTAATTAATAAAAAAATAACAATTTATATTTGATTTATTACAATACTGTTGGACTGTTTACTTAAAAAAAAAAAAAAAACCTACATGATTTAAATTGGAAGGGTTTTTTTTTGGGGGGGGGGGGGTTACATTAAGATTCGCTGATTAATTATGCAAGACAACCGCATCTTGACCTCTAGATTTTGACCAATCACTGGGTGCATCGGGTCTTCTGTCATTCACCGTTGTCGCGTCATAGACATGAATAAAAAAAAACAGACACAGCAACAAAGCCTGTATTACGCGACACGCGCCCGGCTGTTGTAGTATTACAAAGCACTGCATTCAAATTGACCAATCACAGTTTTAGTCCTGATTTCGGACTGTGAAATGACGTCACGTTTTAGTAAAGTCGACTCCGATTGGCTGAGGTGCGAGATCGCATAAATCTGCATGCTTTGACATATCAGACGTTATACAGGAGACTTGGCTCCGTGGATAACGGGTGATACTCAGACTAGGGGGATGGGGCATTGTTCGTACAACCACCCCCATCTCAAATCCTTCACAGCAGATATTATACTCTACACTGTCAAATTCAAGTGAGGCATTTGGGCATTTCCCCCTGAACTACTAGAGTGGTGTTATTAATCAGGGAAGAAACTGCTTTTAAAATGTTACATATCTGCAATGAGTTACAAAAGAAAAAATAAATGTTTAACGGCCTTGCACACCTAGGTTATCACGTTGAGTGACTGGAATAAAGTCTAATTGTTACCTACCATGAACGTGGTGGCGCTCTTCCCCGGGCTGTGGTAGACTGGTCCCCGACCCCACATTAGTAGTCTGAGGGTAAATTGAGAGACAGAAAACCAGTCTACTTGGCTTCTTCGTGTTTCACTTTTTTCAGTGGAGTGTCTGTTCATTTTGGCAACTACAGAGGGCGCTAGGTACGTTTTGTGGTGATACGATTGGTACATCTTTTGCTGCACGAGTCGGTCCTACTAAAGCGCGTCAACAAGCGTCAACAAGCGTCAACAAGCGTCAACAAGTTTTAGTAGTCGTTAAGTGCGCGTCAACAAATTTTGTATAGGCCTTTGAACAATAAAAACAGCTTTATATGGTAGAACAAGCAATAATGAACATCTTCTGCATATCAATTAAAGTTAAAAAAAATTTAAAACTTGTTTTTTTGAACGCGAAATGTACGACGAATTTGTCGATAAAAGTTGGCCGCCATCTTGTTTATGTGTAGCTAGCCGTACTACGCATGCGTGAAGTGTAAAGAGCAATACTACGCATGCGCGAAGTCTACAGCGCCATCCAAACAAGATGGCGGCCTACTTTTATCGACAAATTCGTCGTACATTTCGCGTTCAAAAAACCAAGTTTTAAAATAATTTTAACTTTAATTGATATGCAGAAGATGTTCAGTATTGCTTTTTCTACCATATAAAGCTGTTTTTATTGTTCAAAGGCCTATACAAAATTTGTTGACGCGCACTTAACGACTACTAAAATTTGTTGACGCTTGTTGACGCTTGTTGACGCTTGTTGACGCGCTTTAGTAGGACCCGCACGAGTGGCTCTATCTCTCTGTCTGGCAATTTCAATTTCTTGGATTCACTTGTCAGTAAGTCATGTTACATTTGTAAAGCTGTCGTCTGTGCTGGAGCTTCCTTTTTAAGGAAAAAATGATGCAACCTGTCGCCACTTCCGCGATTGTGTATCCTCGACCCCCCATTAATTATCTGCGCGAATCCCCATCTGCGCAGTTAACGCTTGCAACGCGCGCGCGTTGTCACACACAAATTGAATGTGAGTGCGTAGAAAAAGGACCGCGTAGCTTTAGGGGGTCTGACGAAAGTCTATGAAGAGTCAAGGGCGTGGAGTAATTGCAGAATAACCCGCCACTCGGAAATACACCCCTAAAATCTCTGGCTACGCGGTTGGAATCACGGAAAAGAAACAATTCAAGTCCATTGCCAGCTACGCGGATACGGAGTGGGGGTCCAACGAAGCAACACAAAAGGAATGGGAGTTGCTGAAAAAATTCTAAGTCCAAACCAACTACCCTGTTAGCGGCTAAGCGGATACGGAGTGGGAGTGCAATGGAGCATGACGCATAGTACATACAAGTAGCGCTGAGAAGGTTTATTGAGGGCAATCAACCGTGGATAGATTGAGTGGCGGGGTATTCTGCAATTGTGCCGAAGAAGGACATTTTGGGAAAAATTCCGAAAAGAGTTCCAAAGGTACCAAAAAATGGGCACAATTGCAATTGCAGAATACCCCGCCACTCAACCTATGCACCTCGTAGCCGGCTACGGAGTCACGGTTGATTGCCCTCAATAAACCTTCTCAGCGCTACTTGTAATTGTATGTACTATGCGTCATGCTCCATTGCACTCCCACTCCGTATCCGCATAGCCGCCAACAGGGTTTTTGGTTTGGACTTACATGTAGAATTTTTTCAGCAACTCCCATTCCTTTTGTGTTGCTTCGTTCTCAAGCATATTCAAGGGGACTCCCACTCCGTATCCGTGTAGCCGGCAACAGGGTGGTTGGTTTGGACTTAGAATTTTTTCAGCAACTCCCATTCCTTTTGTGTTGCTTCGTTCTCAAATAATGGACCCCCACTCAGTATACGCGTAGCTGGCAATAGACTTGAATTGTTTCTTTTCCAGTGATTCCAACCGCGTAGCCAGAGATTTTAGGGTGTATTTCCGAGTGGCGGGGTATTCTGCAATTACTCAAAAAAATGTAACTCTGAGGAGGGAACACTATTTAATGAGTGCAAAAATTCTTTTATAACTTTTTCTGTCATGGCCCATAGACTTTGTGCAGGAGGTCTGAGTGTGGCCCAGTATGGAACTCTTTCCAATTTATGCAGTCTACTGAAGCGGTGTTGGACTGGTTGTTTCAGGTGCCAGTCTATTTTCTTGTATTGCATGTTTTCATAGCCCCACTTGTGTGGCCTCCGTATTGCTGCGCTGTACGTTAGGCCACACGTCTGGTTTCCCAACCTACTGAGGAGTTTAGTCCAAAACTGGCACATGTGGACTCCAGAAAGATGTCTAAATTTCTCGGAAAGTTTGAAGAAAGATTACCTAATCTACCCGGAGGGCAAAAGATGAGAAATCATAGAATACAACCATATACAGTGATATGTAAAACAAATTTTTTAAAAAAGAGTGCCCCAGTGTTTGGACTGAACTCCTCAGTAGGTTGGAAAACCGGACGTGTGGCCTAATGTAGCGTGCAGCAAAACGGAGGCCTCACAAGTGGGGCTAATGTTTTCAGTGCCTTAAGTTTTGGGACTCTCATACACAGTATTGAGTCCCAAATTTTCGGACTAGGTCGATGTATGCTTTATGGTTTGACATGACAGTGGGTCAATTCCATTTGTGCTGCAACAGTGTTAGTAAGGATGATCAGCCCTCTCCCCATTAGATGCGGCCATCTAAGTTAGAGGGCATCTTTTGCTATTCTCATTCAGTAACGATGATTTCACAAATAGGTTCACTCCTGCATATCCCAGCAAAACAAATGCAATTGCCCTCTAAGATGGCATAAGGTCTATATGAGCCACATTTCTGGGGCTAGTACTGTCTGGCGATCAGGAGTAAAACATTTAAAAAGGCGCTTTGTTGAGCCCTAGTTAATGGACTAGACTGCCATATACCCACATGACCAAGCAATGTATGCAATGATAACTTCAGGTATTTATGCTTTACAAGGTTGACACGTCCCGTTCAGGAAATACATGGAACTGATTCCGAGACAAGCCCAGTGAATGACCATCAAGATGGCATCATCTCCACCGTCCACAAGCTCACCAGAACTTGAAGAGGGCACATCCCAAGAGGTGGTACTCGCCAAGCTGTGGGAGCGCGTCACCAAAGCCGAGGAGTACAAGACCAATGGCAATGAACTTTACAACTCCAAGGACATTCGGGGAGCCATCGGCAAGTACCACAGGGCCTTGCTGTTCATCAGGGGCCTGGACGCCAACTTGCAGAGGAACAGTCTGTGGTACCAGCTGGGTTTGGGTGTTGGAGGGGGCGTGGAAAACTGTGACGGGGGAGGAGGTGGTGCCCCAAGCCTGACCAGCTTGCCGGAGGAGATGCAGAAAAAGGTGGCCACCGTTGAGCAAGGATGCCTCAACAATTTGGCAGGTAACGATTACCTTTCGGTTGTCGTTAGTCCGTTTCCCTTCGTTTGTGGTCTGATCTGGTTTGGCATCTATAGGAAACTTAAGGGCTCATGCAATGTAACTATTTTTAATGCAGTCCTTGAAAATGCACGTTTGTGTCCAGTTTGATTACCTCATTTCATATTTGCCATTTCCAAGGCCCTTTTGGTTTTTATTAATGCAAATTTATATATTATGAACAAAAGTGTGATGTAGTTTCAGGCAAAAACCTCAGTGTTTAATATAGCTAATTTCAGTACCAGACTGGGACTGTAAGTGCATGAAAACTGCAAAATTACTACTGATTTTTTTTTTTTTACATACCCATACCTCCAGACACTATAGTAACAAGCATGTCTCCTGCAAAATTTGAGATCTGAAATCCGTTTTTTTTTTTTAAAAGCAAGTTAATGAGAGATTGAAGGTCACCCACTTTGTTCTGGCATTGTCTGGAAAGCTCGTGTGTGCTTCGCAAAGTAATCGGGGTCAAATGTCGGAAGAACCTTGCAGCTTATACTTGTTTTTTAATCGATGGCCCACATAACATAGCGCCCTCTATTGAAAATATGTATTATTGGTATTGCAACACGAGGTTGTAACAACAAGAGGGCGCTGTGTCACTTCACAACCATATGAACTATGAGTGTTTTCATTAGTATTGTCTCCCATGTGGCCCAATAAAGAGAAGACAATGTAGAGATCCAAATATTGGGTAACAGCGGTGGAAGGCGAGGAAAGTCCCGCTATGTCAACCTGGATGGCTTAGACTGAATTACAAGCCTACCACAAAAGAAAATTTCAGTGGGATAAAATATTGGTTGCACTAACTTCTAACACCTTTCTCTTCTTTTATGAATCTCTCCCCTCCCCGAATCAAGCCTGTATACTTCTCCAAGAGGACCCCAACTATAAGAGGGTGATTTCCTACTGCGACAGGGTGCTGGCCTCCTCCCCAGGGAACCCCAAAGCTCTGTACAGGAAGGGCTGCTCCCTCTATCATCTTAAATCCTATGAGGAGGCGTACGACTGCTTGAAGAAAGCACAGCAGATCTCAAAATCAGGTACGTGAATAGTTGGTTGTGGACTTGCAGTACCCGCTGCTACATCAGACTCGAACCAGCCAGCCGACCCAGGCAGGCTCAGTGGTCGAGTGGTAAGACGTCTGCACTCGTAAGCAGGAGGTCGTGGGTTCAGGTCCCACCCAAGTAAAGCTTGTGAATTTTTTCGCGTAAGCCGTCGGACAACACGGAGCATACAATGTTGAAAAGTTGAACTCTTCTAGGCAGTTTTGATATATCACACACTGGACTTATATAATAAGAGATCCTTTATAATTGCCACTCAAGCAACCAGCTTGCCAGAGTCGGCTGGCTGGTTTGAGTCTAGTGTAGAAGCGGACATGGGGAGTCAGGTTGGTGTAGCGGTACTTTCCTCACCGTCCACCGCTGTGACCCGGGTTCGATTCCTGCCCTGGCCATATGTGGATTGGGTTTTCAGTCCCTACCTGATTCCGTGGGTTTTCCCCAGAATATTCTTCTGGGGTTTTCCTCCCACCTCTAAAACTGCAATTTCTTCTCATTGTCTACTCTCTACAGGTTTCTTCAGGCTTGCGAGCTACAGTGCCTATGGCGCTTTCGAAGAATCCTTGGTTTCGTTACCAGAAATAACTAATAATGATAATAATAGCACACACACAAATTTACTTTTCTAGCAAAACAATGTAGATACAGAGGTACGGAAGAATTGGATGTTGCAGGTGTTTTGCAGCACGTAAATTGTTGTCTGTGAGGGGGGATATCCATGTCTGAATAAGTGTTGAAAATTTCCGGGAATTATAACTGGCCTACCCATTTGGAGTAATACCACTTGTCCAGTGACTTTTGCTAGAATTTGCGTCGGGGAGGTGAATATTTTTATATTTGGTTTTTGCCCTTCAATGCAGTTTTGTGTGCACTATCAATGTCTCACAAGCTTTGGAACAGCACAGAAAAAAGTGTGCTTGTTAGTTTATGTCCATGAAAGGAAACAAAAACTGGCTCTTTGCATCCTTAAAAAAATAATTGCTTTTTAAATCCTCTTGCCTTTTTTTATATTTGAAACCTTTTTTGAATTTCAGATCCAAATATTCGCAAGTACCTGACCATGGCCAAGGAGAAAATGGAGAACATCAATAATGCGCAGCGGACAATGTATCAGGGAATGTTCAACAAATCGTCAACGCAGTCTGATGAGTGACTCAGTCAGTATGTTGTTGATTGTGACATGAAGAGTTTGTGAATTCCTGTTCGGAATTTCCCCAATGTAAATTTTTATTATGAAAAAAAAATACTCAGAATCTGAAGAAATTTGAAGTCATGGTGTTCAGATGTAACACAATCTTATGGATCACTTAGTGAAGGGGTCATAAGAGGAGTTTCATATAAAAAAAAATTCACATAAAAAGCTAGGGCTGTGCCGGATGTACCAAATATCCGAATATTCGGTCATCCACCAAATAGCCAAATATTCAAGAAGTGTGGGCCGTCTTGAGGAGATGAAGAATAGCGTCCACGGTGTAATTTTATTTGTATAACTGCAGAGTTTCATTGTTTGTCAAATGCCACATTTGTGTGGACAGCCACTTTACACAAAGGATTTGAATACTTCCGTGAGGAATGTTGGCCCCAATTTTCGTCCTTAAGATCTGTCAAGTATTAGCCAGTCAGCCATCTTGAAAAAAAATATATCGATACATGCATGATATTCATAAAACTTTTTTTCCTCAGTTGGTCGAATATTTGAACATTTCACCAAAACCAAATGTTAATAATCAAATACTAAATTATTCGAAAATGCACAGTGCTAACTAAAACATGTCCTGTGCATATAGGCCATCAGCCTGGGGGTTTGGTCAGTATCAAATCAGGGCACAAATGATTATAGTGCGCATGCGCAAGGTATACTACCCCTAGAGTGGTAACAAGCATTTTGATGGCCATTTTGAAAAAAAGGGTGATAACACCCAAAAAGCTGCCACCGCTGCAATGCTATCACATATTTTCAAACTCGGGAGGTGTATACCTTGCCAAAAATCGCTATGACGATTATTCCCCTCTTTTGATACCGGTGGCCAAAATTTTGGACCGAGGCTGATAGTCCTAATATATCCAAGCTGCAAAAGGAAAGCAAACTAGAGTTTGGCTAAAATTATCATAAATGTCCTTTTTTTCCTCACCATTTGCAATGACCATGCCAATTACTACCACCTGACCATGTTGTTGCTGTGACGTCTTTGCAGGCAAACACTTTGCCAGTCAAGGGATTTTGTTGTAAATACAGTCGAGTCACGTTAATACAAACTCGTTCGGACCTAGCCAAATGGTTTGTTATATCAGAATTTTGTATTAAGAGGAACATCAGTCCCATTCATTGTGCACATTAATGCACAGTCATGACTAAGGCTTATGTTTGTTATAACCAGAATGTTGTATTAAGAGAGTTTGTTATAACGAGATTCGACTGTATTATGAACCTTAAATGTTGCTGGTAACAGTTTCTACATAAAAGCTGCACAACACCTGGCGTTTTTGTTCTGAAAAAAAAAAACCCCAAAATAAACACGAAGCATCATTTAAAAGACTTAACCTCCTGCCTTAGATGACACTGTTTATGCCCCTACTAGACCATCGGTCCCAACTTTAGTTGGAATGGTCCCAACGTAAGTTGGGATCGTCTTAAGTAAAGTGTTGTAACTGGAACACAGTCCCAGCTTAAGGTGGGTTTTCTCTTCAAAGTGTGAACCCAATAATTTGCTCATTGAAAAGATTTGTGAGAATGGCTTACTGCCATGTACTGACACAACAACGAATCCCCAATTAAAAGAAAATTTAAGACCGCAAAATATCAAAAATTCTGGCAACTTTTGGTGGTGAAAGAGCTGTATGTAACATCGAGGTTTCTGCCTGAAATGACATCACACTTTTGCTCAAGAATATGAAAATTGGCAAAGAGTACCAATGAAAAAATCACCAAAATGCCCTTGAAAAGGGCAAAACAAACATTGAAAATAACGTTGAATGGGACATGAAGGTGCATTTTCAAGGACTCCATTAAAGAAGTTACATTGCATGGACCATTTTAGTTGATTTTAACAACTACTTTAAAGGGTACAATGGCATACAGTTTGTGTAAGTTTATAAGTCGAGAATACACTCGGTGTCCAACCAAAAAGATGTATCGTAAAGTATGTACTGGGTAAGGTTTTTGTTGGTACTTAAGTTCTTAAATGTTTACTGCATTATTTTGTTCAGTTTTAAAGACAACAGACTATTTTGAGAAAGTGTATATAAATCATGGATGTGAAAAACTTTGCCTTTTTGGTTTATTTGTTAGTATTTTGCAATAGTTATGTTAACATTGGTTGTTATAATTGTTTATGTTATTTACATTGTTAACATCAAGACTAAATTGTATCAGGAAGTCACAGTTGGAACTGTATTAGATACACTCATGATGTCAGTTGTCTGTTCATTTAAGCTGTATCATTTGTATTGTAAAAATATTTAAATAAGAAAAGATGTTGCTTTTTCAGATACAAAATACCTTGTCCATGATAAAGTATCTTCTGCTTCTGTCTGCTTTGTACTGCAACAATTTCCTTGCAGAGATATTTAAAGTTGCAGGCGCAAGGTGGCTGGCAGACAAGTATTAATGGTCCCCCCCCCCATCCTCCCAGCCCCACCCCTTTAACCAGCTGAAATGAAATCTTGATCCTGTCGAGTTGAGTTTTAAATGTTTGGATTGGTTAGGCTTCCCGAGTATCTGGAGGTGGAAGAATCCACTGGGCAAATGTCCTTGGAATCTTCAACTTCCACAGATATTACGGAAAGCAAATCAATCGAAACGTTTACAACTCGACCTAATAAAAAAATGGTCATTCTACCTCCATGTTTATACCCAGCGAAAAATACGGAGTTGATCTTATGTGCGTGACAAGTGCAGCGTCATCCGGTTCACCAGAAAACACTATACTCTCGCTGGTCACCAGTTATCCAATTATCAACCACCAACCATCACAAATATTTAGGTGTCGCCCTTTCTTCTGTACAACCTCATTAATAAAAGCACTTCTCACAACGGCGTTTTGAGAAGAAACTTGAGCAGCGCCCCATCCCATGTGAAAATGCAAGCTTTCAAAAGGCCTGGTGCGCCCCCACACCGAGTGCTAAAGCACGGTGTGGGACCCCAGCTCACACAATGAAGAATATCAACAAGTTGAGGCTGCTCAACAATCAACGCAGGGCTGCCCGTTTTATCTGCCAAGACTGCAAGTCTACAACAGAACCAGTTCACCGCTCTTCAGCTCCCACTGCTTCATCTCGGACGCCAGTCATGCTTCATAAGATCATCTACCAACATCAACAGCTTCCTCAAATTTCAAAGCCAATCAAACCAAGCCAGAGTATGTACTAGAAGTTCCAACCCAAACCTTAGTTCACCATTTCACAGTCACAATCTCAAGTTCACATGAACTCCTTCTTCCTGAAGACAGCAAGGAAGTGGAATAGTCTTCCCAAGCGCATTCAATCCTTCTCCAACCTTGATCAGTTCAAAGCAGCACTCCAATCATCTCATCTAAAACTAGACTGAGCAACGTTCCCCACAACAAATCTGTTCTGAGTGTTGCTCAAGTTGAGTTGATCAGAGTAACCACAAGAAGAAGAGAAGACCATGAGCATTGACAGACAGAACACGCTACGTTATTGTAAAACATTTGAACGTTCCGGCAAAAATTCATCTTTAAAAATGCGAGCAATGGATGGGGTTATGATCCGAAATCAATTTGTCATGTAACTATGTTTGGTTAAACTAACAGCTTGATTCCGCCTGGGTTCGAAGCGGGGACCTTTTGCGTGTGAGGCGAACGTGATAACCACTACACTACGAAACCTGTAAACTTTAATTCAATGAAAGCAGTTATTCGCACTTCGCAGTGAAAACAACTTGTTTAACAATCACCTTTTAAAAATGGAAAAATTATTCCTCCCGAGTTTGAAACGGGCCAATGTGTACGAGACAAACTTGATTGACAACGCTATACAAAATGTATACGGAATCCCAAAGCAGTCGGCTTTTCAGTGACCGTGCTTAGTGGTAGTGACAAGAGAAACCTGTAAAAAAAAATAATATCTAAAAGTTGATTCCGCCCGGGCTCGAACCGGGGACCTTTCGCGTGTAAAGCGAACGTGATAACCGCTACACTACGGAATCATATAGTCTTTGTTATTGATATGTAAGTATTACGAACTTGAACGAAGATTATTATAAACACTGCAAAAGCACTTTGCTTTGGTGTCCTCCAGAAGTCTTCCTGGTTGAAAAATCCCATGCTTCCCAAGTAATGCAAATTCTATATACCGCAATTTGTCTAGCCGGGGTTCTCTAAAATATTGTTTCCCTGATGTAATGCCAAGATTGATCTAACTTAACACTGTTTGAATTAGGAGCGGGATGCTTCTTGGTATATCCAAATGTCCAACTTATGTAACCTGTTATAACAATCATTGAATAACGCTGCAACCTGAAAGATCAAGTGCACGGTAAACACGGAGGGAAAAAAAAGTAGCCCCCCCCCCCCAACCTGCCGGTGTTATTATACTAGATAAGGCTTCAGCCTCAGGTTTTGATTGGGTTAATGGCCGTTCTAATTCACAAACAAACAAAAAACACAATATTCTCGTCCACATCGTGATGACCGTTTCAATTCGGATTCCAATGGTTTCAAGACTTCAATGTATGACCACTTCAAAAGCGAACAAAATCAATAAAACATAAAGCTACGCCCGGGTTCGAACCAGAGACATCTCGCGTACAGAATCCCATGAACTTTTTAGTTTTAAAATGTCATGCCATTTTAAAGCAGGAAAAGTTTGGAAAATTTCGCGAACTTGAAAGGGTTGATTCCGCCCAGATTTGGAACCGTGGACCTTTCGCGTGTTAGGCGAACGTGATAACCGCTACACTACGGAATCATATTTCAAAATAGGTACCTCACATTTTGTAAGCGATTAAACATGGTACGGTAATGCCAAAGCTGTCCAAAAGTTGATTCTGCCCGGGTTCGAACCGGGGGCCCTTTCGCGTGTGAGGCGAACGTGATAACCGCTACACTACAGAATCGATGAATTTTGAAGTTTGATAAAAGTAAACAGTCATGTCACTTGACTAAACAGGAGTATATAGTTTTATTAACAAATACGCCTTCAAAGGGTTGATTCCGCCCGGGCTCGAACCGGGGACCTTTCGCGTGTTAGGCGAACGTGATAACCGCTACACTACGGAATCCCATGGAGTTTCATTCAATGAAAACAATAATTATTCGCAGCGAAAAACAAAAAAAATTAAGGATCAAATTAAATAATGAGAAATTATTATTCCTCCCGTGTTTAAAACAGGATCACGTTCGCATTAGACCAACTTGACAAACGCTATATATATACGGAATTTTAAAGTATTCAGCTTAATGACCCGTGGTTATAAGAGAAAAAAAATATCTAAGAATTGATTCCGCCCGGGCTCGAACCGGGGACCTTTCGCGTGTTAGGCGAACGTGATAACCGCTACACTACGGAATCCCTTGGAGTTTCATTCAATGCAAACAATAATTATTCGCAGTAAAAAACCAAAAAAAAAATAACAATCACCTTTTAAAAATGGAAAAAAATTCCTCCCGATCGATTTGAAACGGGTCCATACGTACCAGACAAACTTGATTGACAACGCTATACAAAATGTATACAGAATCCCAATGTAGTCCGCTATTCAGTGGCCGTGACAAAAGAAACCCTGTAAAAAAATAATATCTAAACTTTGATTCCGCCCGGGTTCGAACCGAGGACCTTTCGCGTGTAAAGCGAACGTGATAACCGCTACACTACAGAATCGATGAATTTTGAAGTTTGATAAAAGTAAACAGTCATGTCACTTGACTAAACAGGAGTATATAGTATTATTAGCAAATACGCCTTCAAAGGGTTGATTCCGCCCGGGCTCGAACCGGGGACCTTTCGCGTGTTAGGCGAACGTGATAACCACTACACTACGGAATCGCATGGAGTTTAATTCAATGAAAACAATAATTATTCGCAGCGAAAAACAAAAAAAATTAAGGATCAAATTAAATAATGAGAAATTATTATTCCTCCCGTGTTTAAAACAGGATCACGTTCGCATTAGACCAACTTGACAAACGCTATATATATACGGAATTTTAAAGTATTCAGCTTAATGACCCGTGGTTATAAGAAAAAAAAAATATCTAAGAATTGATTCCGCCCGGGCTCGAACCGGGGACCTTTCGCGTGTTAGGCGAACGTGATAACCGCTACACTACGGAATCCCTTGGAGTTTCATTCAATGCAAACAATAATTATTCGCAGTGAAAACCAAAAAAAAAATAACAATCACCTTTTAAAAATGGAAAAAAATTCCTCCCGATCGATTTGAAACGGGTCCATACGTACCAGACAAACTTGATTGACAACGCTATACAAAATGTATACAGAATCCCAATGTAGTCCGCTATTCAGTGGCCGTGACAAAAGAAACCCTGTAAAAAAATAATATCTAAACTTTGATTCCGCCCGGGCTCGAACCGAGGACCTTTCGCGTGTAAAGCGAACGTGATAACCGCTACACTACGGAATCACATAATCTTTGTTGTTGGTATGTAAGTATAACGCAGAAAGAACACTGCAAAAGCACTTTGCTTTGATGTCCTCCATAAATGAAACGTCTTCGTGGTTGAAAAATCCCATGCTTCCTAAGTAACAAATTACAGTGAAGAAAGCAAAATTAAGCACTTTCTATATACCGCAGTTTGTCTAGGGGTTCTCCAAAATATTGTTTCCCTGATGTTATGCAAAGATTGATCTAACTTAACACTGTTTGAATTAGGAGCGGGATGCTTCTTGATATCCAAATGTCCAACTTATGTAACCTGTTATAACTATCATTGAATAACGCTGAAACCTGAAAGATCAAGTGCACGTTAACACGGAGGGGAAAAAAGTACCCCCCCCCCTCCCGCCCCCCCCCCCCCCCCTTCAACCTGCCGGTGTAGTATAAGAGACACACATAATAAGGCTTCAGCCTCAGGTTTTGATGGGGTTAATGACCGCTCTAATTCACAAACAGACAAAAACACACAATATTCTCGGCCACGTAGGCCTACGTGATGACCGTTTCACTTTGGATTCCAGTGGTTTTATAAGACTTTGATGTATGACCACTTAAAAAGACAAACAAAATCAATAAAATTTAAAGCTATGCACTGGTTCGAACCAGGGACATCTTGCGTACAGAATCCTATGATTTTTATTTTTTTTTAATTTTTAAACGAGTAAATTGTCATGCCATTTGATTATAAAGCAGGAGAAGTTTGCAAAATTTCGTTTAAAAGGGTTGATTCCGCCCGGGCTCGAACCGGGGACCTTTCGCGTGATAACCGCTACACTATACGGAATCCCAGGGAATTTAATTCAATGAAAACAATAATTATTCGCAGTGAAAAAAAAAATTAAAAGATCGCCTTTAAAAATGAGAAATTCACTCTTTTCACGCTTCCTTCATAGGTATGCAGGGCCTCGATCTGGCAACTTCACACAATGAATATAGCCGGTTCAGGGATTCCCGCGTCGGGTTCAGTAATTCCTGTGTATAGGCCTACACGGGAATCACTAAACCGATTAGTTTTATTGTGTAAAGTTGCCAGATCGAGGCTCTGCATGCCTATGGCCGAGCGTGAAAAGAGCGAATTATTACTCCTCCCGTGTTGAAAACAGGATCACGTTCGCACGACACCAACGCTATATACGGAATCCGAAAGTATTCAGCTGATGTTCAACGACCGTGGTTATAATTGGTGGTTACAGGAAAAAATAATATCTAAAATTTGATTCCGCCCGGGCTCGAACCGGGGACCTTTCGCGTGTTAGGCGAACGTGATAACCGCTACACTACGGAATCCCATGGAGTTTAATTCAATGAAAACAATAATTATTCGCAGTGAAAAAAAAATTAAAAAAAATTAACAATCACTTTTTAAAAATGGAAAAATTATTCCTCCCGAGTTTGAAACGGGCCAATGTGTACGAGACAAACTTGATTGACACGCTATATACGGAATCCCAAGGTAGTCGGCTATTCAGTGACCGTGGTTTAGTGGTAGTGACAAGAGAAACCTGTAAAAAATAAAAATATCTAAAATTTGATTCCGCCCGGGCTCGAACCGGGGACCTTTCGCGTGTAAAGCGAACGTGATAACCGCTACACTACGGAATCATATAGTCTGATGTAAGTATTACGAAGAACGAATTCATTATGAATACCGCAAAAGCACTTTGCTTTTGGTAATGAAACGTCTTCGTGGTTGAAAAGTCCCATGCTTCCCAAGTAACCAATAATAGTGAAGACTGTGCAAATTTAGCACTTTCTGTTACCGCAATTTGTTTAGGAGTTCTCCAAAATTATATATTCCCCTATAATGCCTAGCTTGTTCTAACTTTACGCTGCTTGAATTAGGAGCAGGATGCTAAAAACCGAAAGATCGGGTGCACATAGTTAAAACACGTGAAGAAACAAGACTACCCCCCCCCCCCCCACGCCGAAATAAAAATGTGATCCCCCGAGTTCGAACCGCGGACCTTTCGCGTGTGAGGCGAACGTCATAACCGCTACACTCTAAAAACTGTGTTTAGAAACACAATCTTGCTATCACTTTGTAAATATGCGTATATATAGAACTTATACGTTGATACGTTCATGGAAAACCAGTCTAAAAGGTGATCCTGCCCGGGTTCGAACCGGGGACCTTTCGCGCGTGAGGCAAACGTGATAACTTCCCGCTACACTACAGAATCCGATGTATTTTGAAGTTTGATAAAAGTAAACAGTCGTATATACTATCACTTGACTAAACAGGAGTAAAAAAAAAAAAAACCACACGCCTTAAAAAGGGTTGATTCCGCCCGGGCTCGAACCGGGGACCTTTCGCGTGTTAGGCGAACGTGATAACCGCTACACTACGGAATCCTGTTGAAAAACAGAGTTGATATCTCATAATTATTTTGTGAGCGATTAAACATGGTCGTGCGTTCACCTTTGGACTAAAGATAATAAAAGCACGTTGGATGATGTTCGTGCATCTGATATGCGATTGATGCGACTTTTTGGTTGGTCGTGTTTTTGTTTGATATAATGACCGATTTATTGTGCATCTTGTCATCATCCCCGCTGCACGCGATGTACCTGGAAATTTTAGAGATGTTTCCCTCCCCTCCTCCGAAATCATGCCTTGATATAATTATGGACCCTCTCCTCGTCAACACCCAGTAGAGTAGACTGACTGGATGGATTAATGTATGAGCGCCCTCTATCAACGGGGCAGAATGAAGCCAAGTTTCTCATCGTGTTGTGTGTTTTCTCCGGAAGGCCAGGCTGCAGCGCACTAATTCAAATGAGAATTTCTACGCGAGCTCATTAGCATGAAAAGTGCCCCCCAGACTTTGTTTTGAAAAAGGAGACCGTTTGGCTTAAAAAGGTGGGATTGTGTAAATATAGCCGAGAATCAACTCCCATGGTTTCTGGCCTTTCATCTGTGGGCAGACTTGATAAAATTACGGTTGAAAATGGGTCCTATTTGCCAATAAAAGTGAAGGAATGGGAACGCCATCTGTAAAATGGCTGCATGCAGGCTTTGAACTGTCACTTTTCGGGAGGTGATTTTGTTTTGGTGTGAACATTTAAAAATGGAATTGGCTAGTCTACCCAAAATTGAAAAGAAATTGAAAGATGAAGGACAAGACAATAATTTAAGTTTCGTTTGAGAAGCCCCAGTGATGTCGGCTTGCATGTTATTTGGCCCTGAACTTTGTTGATTTTACACTGTTTTCAATGGGGCTTGAATTAGTTCAGTACACTTGGAAGCGTAAAGCTGACATACTTTTTATAAGAAAAAAATTGCCCGAAAAGGTTGGTTATAACCTAACGTTTTTTGGTTCGTTTTTAGAATAACAAAAAAACTTTAGATTAACCAAACTTCAGGCAACAGGTTTTTCTTTTGTGGTTAGCATTACGCTTCAATATATATAGTTTTACGATATATAATAGTATATATTTTTCCATCGAGGCGTAGATTCCCGTACTAAAGAAACACACGATCGACAAGCAATTTTTTTCTTATTTGGTTACTCATCAAACGACGAGTAACCAAAAAATGTAAACAATGAGGGACAATTAAACAACCGGAGCTTGTTTAATTGAATAAATAAAACATACCCTTCTAAATGCCATGATTAAATTAATTGAGAGTCTGTGTATAGTCACCATACTTTACCGTGTAACTTGATATGATAGAACTTTGGGATGTTTTTGACATAACAAATAATATTTGATGAGGTCTCCTTGTCAAAATTATAAAACATGTAAAGAATTCAACCTCAAATTTAGGGCCTGGCGTTTATTGTAGCAAAATCAGGTTTTATGTTTCCATTTAGGTTTATTTTTAAATTATTGTTCAGATAATCCGTCATGCAGGGGAAGTTACTTTATACAATAGCGGGCGCAATACTTCCGCCATTGAAGGGGGCCTTTGTGAGTGCACATGGATAGCGTGGTCGGAATGGTCTATTCAAGTGAGAGTCAAGAACAGCGCCACCTATAGCGCTTTTTCCCCAGATGGTTGCAGATGCCCCCAAATTGGAGTGAAACAATCCAAGGTTTTTTTTTCTTTAAAATAAAACAAAATGTCATAATTCGTCAGGAGAAAAAATGCAGTTAATTCTTGTTTTACAAATCAGATAAATATCAATGCACTTTTTCCCTCTGTTCTTTTGATTGTATTTCCCTTGATTGAGGACGCTGATGCTGGACCCGGGATGCGTGGAAGGCGACCATCAAAGGCTCCCGAGAAGGCGTCGGCTGAAGACGACCTCTCGCATCAGTCACATTGATTGAGAACAGACTTTGATTTTGTGATTGGCAGTTGGATTTTTTATACACTACACTGCAAAAACTGTGTTTAGCAATTAAACACTTTTCTAAACACTTTCTTGCTATCAGTTTGTAAACATGTTTAAATATACTAAACGTGTTTAGAGTAAGAATGCATAGTGTTTAGCCATTGAACATTGATATTTAGGATTTGGACACGTGATGTTTAGCATCTAAACATGTTTACGGAGTGATAGCAAGATTGTGTTTAATTGCTACACACAGTTTTTAGAGTGTCATAATCCAACAGGCAACACACACACATAAACAAAAATCACCAAAACGAATTAATGAAATGTGTGTGTTTGAACAATGTGGTTTGTAATAACGTGCGTCTGTCGGATGTGCGGATACAATTTATGATTTCTCCTTTTTTTTTCTTCAAAAGCATCATAAACTATAAAAAATTGTCCAAAAAAATCCCACGTGAGAGTGTGACTCATTAATCCCCCGAGTACACATAGGAGTTTGCTTGGCGACGTTGGCTAACAAGAATCTTGCACAATCACACACCCGTATCACAACCAAATAATTTGTGGGGTATCACGCATTTCGTCACTACCGGTTGATTGAGTTTTCCCGAAAACATAACAAAACCGCACAAAAGTATTATGTACGTGGCTTACCGCTCGTACATAGTTCAAATATTCGTGCTTTACGCGCGGTGGAACGCCGGGTGGAATTGGTCAATTTATCTGTAACCAAAACCCATTGTGGGAAAACCAATTAGCAGTAATACATGTAACTAAATTCTTTGGCAAAAAAATTAAATTCACTGCCCCTTTAATAGACGAGATCACATTATTTTTTTTGGAAGGAAATTTTGGATAAAAGGAAAAATATATATACGTATATATTTTCGTGTATAAACATTGTATTACTATTAAGCTTTGTGTACAAAATATATTTTTTTTGGAAGTGAACAGCTGCGACGAAAATGCAACAAGCGCTGAAATAAGATCGAAATTCATTCAAAACAAAATTTAATTCACCTCCGTACTATACCGCATACCGTGCAATCATTAATACCATATGTTATGTACTGTATCGCAGTCAGTCCGGTGGTGCTCTGGTTATATACCATACATGTACAGCCTCTGAGAGATGGTCGGCATACAAGCAAGCAGACTGCCCGATGCATTGCCGCGCCGCGGCGTCAAATTGATTTCGGAAGTGACGTCATAAGGACTGGAATCATTCATAAAAATATTACGCGCGCAAGCGCAGTGCCACACCTGTGGTTTACGCTGTGAATAGGTTTTCATGTTGAATTGTTTATTCGAACAACTTGCTTATCATAAGTCATACTCATTAGTTCCTTAGGTCAACATGAATTGCAAATTTCGCTTTTGATGGTAGGGTCGAAGTATAATTCAGACACACACAAAAACCTTTTAACAGTTTCGACGTGAAATTTTAAGGAAAAGGTTTGCCCGTTTTACAGATCGATATTTTCAAGTGACACCATTTTTGGGATGTCTTAGATGGCAAACTTCCCGGTTTGTTTTAAATTGTCCATTTGTAATTGCATTTGGCCTTTGTTGTGAAATACCATTAAACCAAAAAGTATTTTTTTTTTTCATATTTCAGTACATCGATAAAAGAAATCACCATCAGTGACTAAATTATCAAAAGTGATCGAGACAGCTGCATGACACCCATGCAGAGAATATACAGGGTATAAATTGATGGATTGAGTGTCTTAAGTCGAAAGTTTGTGATGTAGCATATTATTACCATGGAGGAATAAAACATAACTGTATATTTACTCCTCGATGGGCCTACGACAATGTACTCTAATTCTACCTCCATGATTGTATTATGATGTACAGTACATGTACATGTACAACTGTTATAAACATGTACAGTAGGCTACACCAGTAGGCCTAGCCTGGTTGAGGCTGTACGGCTAGACAAAGTACAAAAATACTGACTGTATAGTACACAACATATAAATAGGTGCAGTGTTTAGTTTGGCTCAACCCCTGAGTCGACCCCGAGGCGGTTAGGGTCAAAGCAAACATCCACTCTTTTTTTTCTCTCCCTCTTTCCTAACTGTGATTTGACTGCGCTGCTGGCTGATCGTTCATGTAGATATGTGTACTGAACTAGGCCGGTGAATCGAATCGGAAAGCCGATATTCTACAAGGCCACAAAGAGGAAATGATTTGCATATGAAAAAGCTGACATTGGAAGGGACTCGTTAGGAAGTTAATCCGCTGGCCACTAGTTAATGAAGCCGGTACCACAAAGTGGTCCAAATTCGTTCCTGAATTGGGTTTTTGTTCATTCGCCGGACGTTTTGGGCGGTATTGGAAAGGATAGAAAGTGGCAACTTCAGATGTGACGTTTGTGGGAAGTGGATGTTGGAACTACTTTATTACCGCGCAACATCCTCTGTGTGTGTGTGATGAGGAGATCATTTCCTCATGTGTGAATCACCCCGCTTATCCATGCATGGAGTTGATGATAATGTCGGGGAAGGAAAATCATGGCTCTAGTCCCCCGAACTCGAGAAAAATGTCCCAAATAACTCGACATGATCGGAATAAGTAGCGTGGAGGATAACGAGGAAGATGGAGGAGAAACGTGTAGACGAGTGAGTATATCGTGTGGATACAAAACTGGGGAAATTATACCGTAAAGCCATGTCGAAAGTAGGGGGTCAGTTTGGGTCCAGAACGTGGCAAGAGAGTCACACAAGTTAGTGCATACGGTTAACTGCGAGTTCACATGGATTAAACCTGAAGGAGTGAACAGTGAATGGCAGTGACAGTTTACTGGATCACAAAATCTGCCTAAAAAAAGAATGAATATACCCGAACAGAGACTAAATGGGTACAGAAATGCGTGCTTTCAATACGGATAAACATAGCCGATAGCCATGCCGAATTTAGCCCTACTGTATGTGTATACAGTATAGCCATGCATAGCATAATACACGGTGTACTGTTAATGTGTTATGCATACACAATTTACAAGTCATAGCCTAGGCCAACATAAGCCAGGTAAAACTGTTGTGTTGGTAATGGACATGATGAATGGTTGGGGTCAGTCATGCTCATCGACAGCATGGAGGAATAACAAAAAGATTCATATTGTTCAGTTGTTAAGTGGATCTATAATAAAATAACTGGAAAATTAAGGTATTTTCACATTTTGACAGTTTGCCTGCCAAATCTGAGTGACATGTCTAGGACTACAGTCGTTTTCCTAGTTCCGGATAGCAAACATCATTCAGGCTGCTTTCGGCTCAACTACTCCACGAATTCAAGTGACATTGATTAAAAAGTTTACCTTGAGTGATGGAGAGACCACAAAATAATTTTCAAAATTTAAGCTTTTTTTATTTTGATTTTACGACGTCAAAAGTACCGATGTCACTTTTCCTACCGGGTAGTTCCGGATCGGTTCAATCAGTTCTGAATCGATCAAAACTGCTTCACGCGAAAAAAAAAAATCACCCGAGAAAATTTTTTTCAGCCAGAACCAACAGAATCAAGCATATTTTCTGATATTTAGTATTATTTCATTTTCCAAAAATAGTTCATTCAAGAGAATTCCAGCAAATTTTAAAAAGAGAAAAAAACATAAATGATTTTGAAACTTTTGTCTGCAGCGCAACAGCTCGAACTCGCGCACGGACCAAAAATCTTTGACCCAGCACAGAATACGTTACACAAAATCGATTAACGCGCGTGTAGTTGGGTCGTAAGTGCACGCGCTATCCGGAACTAGGCAAAAGCATACGGTGATTCGTTGGCGAATTTTCAAAAATTAGAGACTTTACAACTTATTTTGATTCAACAAGCATTCGATGGAAGAGTTTATACGAATGTAGTGTATGAACAAAATATTCAATTTCACACGGTACAAGTGATATACCGAGGAGAAAATTTATCGTCGATTCGCAACTCCCGCGATTTTCTACAAACCGTCCAAACATGTTAAATTAAAACCCTAACTCCCCAACTCCCTTCAATATACTTGGAACCTTCCTCATCCTTGCAAATTCCAACACTCTGTGCTATTAAACTGTGCACTAAACAGCTGGACTCCACCAAACCCTCGTGTTGGAGTTTGGCTAGTTGGGGATCATTAAGGTTAATACAAAGTGAATATGGTGAAGTAAGTCCCTATCTGAGTAACTGCTCACATTAAAATAATGATTTTTTTTTACATTATGACTTCAACTGTTGCCAAGTTCTTGAGGACCAAATCATGTGAAAAGGGAATCTTTGGTCCCAGTCATGAGCGTCGCACTTGCCACTTGGAAGATTCCCCCCCCCCCAAAAAAACAGAACAGAAAAGAGTGAAGTCAATAATGTACTGTTATTTAATGTATTATTAGGTAATAGATAGCATATCTAGCCCCCCTCCCATTTCTCATTTTTTTCCACAACTGGTGAGTGATTTGCTCCCCCCCCCCCCCCAAAAGTTTTGAAAATCCTTGTTACATTGAAAGACAATTTTGTGTTTAAGTGCTGAGAATACAAACAAAACCCAGATTACCTTGAGTTTCATAATGTAACGCATAGAGCAGTATAAAAGTATTGCAGTGCAACTGATACCTGGAAGCAAAACATATGTCTCAAACTTGAAACTCTCAAGTGTGAGAGTGCCTAGTTTGAAAAGTTTTGTCTTCAACAATTTGAGTATTGTTTGCTAAAGTACTGAGTTGAAATTTTAACATAAGTAATAAGCAGGTACAAAATGTGAAATGAACTTCTCTGAGGTGCTTTTATCAAAAATGAAGATATTTCCAAATATGCCACAGAGGGAAATTTGTAATAGAAAGTCGTATCCACTCTGAGGGATCCCCGTTTGCTATTTCCCAAGTTTACAGTATTCTAGCATTGTGACTTTGGTCGTGATCACTGGCTACATGGCATGTACAGGTTTATGGCTTCTGACTAGTGCCCCTTGAATAAAGACAACAATTTGATAAAATGGGGGGACAGGCAATGAACGTGGGGCTGGATAGTTCAGTTGGTTGAGCACTGGAACGACACTCCAGTCAATTTCTTTGTTCAACTTGAAAAAAAATGAAGATATTTAGGTAAACATGGTAAAGAGAGAATATTGATTTGACAGTTTGCCAATGACAACTTAATAAGCAAGTTTCATTCAGTTAGGCCCTAATCCCCACAAGTAATTTTGTATTTGGATTGACCTTGAAATTGACACATTAGACACAGTTTGACCAGAAGCTAAGAAGAAATTTGAAACAGCTCCTTAATTTTTATTCTCTGTTTAGTGTTTACCTTTATTTTAATACTGCCAGGTTGTTTGACTAATTTTTTTTTTACAACAAACGGTACAGTGTGTTGACACAATTCTTTCATCACGGACATTTTAATCCTCGAAACTTCAGGAAATAAGACACAATTCTCACTTTACTTTAGGCAGAGTAAGCATTATCTGGAAGACTGGAAGTGTTATGTTCACTCATTTCCACCTGTGGTTTGAAAATACAAATGTACGTGTGTCTCCCGTATCTTTGCGGAATTTGAATTTTGCACTAACTGCCGATCTTGATCAAACTTTTCTTTTGGGAAATACATTATGCCTTCCAGTATGGTTTTGTTGTTGGTACATTGTACATGTACACAAGTACATGTACGTGTATGGTAAAGTTTTAGTTGAAGAGGACATTATACTGATTACTGACATACATGAACTTGAAACAAAAATACACCACCTAAATCTGGACACTTTTAGGGTATAAAGCCAAAACACTCCATACACAGGCTCCAAGCTAACACTTCAGCGTAGTCTGGAAATCGTACTTCTTAGGTATTAAGAATTGGTTGTAAGTAGGAGTTTTTTTCATTTTTGAGTGTTTGTTATGTAGAAATGTACTGTTCACTGACACCCTTGACTGGCACTCTGAAAGTCGGTATGAGTTGAGTGCAGTGAAAAGTGGCCAGAGACCAGTTGTTGCTATCGATGTTGTGACTAGACGAAGAGCCTCAGGCCGGCACATTAATATTATGTCAAACTGCACTTAATTGTACATAGTATGTACTTCACGTCATTGGTGGGAGAGAGAAATAATTTTCTTCAGTGGGGAGTTTTTCCGGCTTCATGCCAAGCTGATTAAAAGACATGGATGTTAATTTCGAGTATGTGCTAATGATTGATCTGCTGCCAGACTTCCAGCAAAATTGCAATACCAGATTGCAGCGCTTAATAGCTTGCGACAAACATGGTGCTGTGGAATTCTACCTGCCCATAGATAAATCTGTTTTGGTTGGATTTATTGATACGGATACCGGAAATAACACCCCCGTACTTATTTTCATTCAATGGGGACAGTGGTCTGATGGACTTGCCAGAAGTCGATTACTGTATGAAGATTTCATGCCCAGCAATCTAAATTTTCAAATAAGGTCTGTTTCTGGGAATCTGTTATTGCTATGGCTTTGATATTTTGCTATGGGCATGCTACATTGTACATTGGTTAGCCGTAGCTGTATCCAACAGTGTCTGTGTGGAACATGGCCGAAGTGTAGAATCAATCCTTTCAAACATGAGATTTCGGTGTCGTGTTATAGAGCAAGGATGTAAATGTACGTACCTCTGTCGTCCCTTTACAACACAAGATACATTGTACAGGTTTCTTTTGGCAAAAACCCAGGCTTCCAGAATCCATCGCGCAGGCATCGTGCAGTCTTGAAAAAAAGTTTGTACGTGACGTGCAGGAGATAACGCGAGCGTACGGCGCGGCGTGCAGCCTTCGAAATACACGCGCAGTATGCTCTGAATAGTCAATCAGCGTCATTTACGTATTCCTCAAGGCTAGGGGTTAGTGAAGGAATGCGCACGTGCCCATGGAGTCGAGGCTGCGTCCATTGGCTCTTGAAAGTGGTCAAAGAGCGCAATGCACTGTTTATGCACAGAGTACATAGCTTGAAAACTTTTAGTGGCTATGACTTACGAGTAAAAAAATGAAAAAAGAAAAAAAAAATTATCCCGTCCATAGAGTTGGCGAGGGTCAATAGATGGCTTAGAATGTAGGTAGTAATGAACCCTCTGCTAAATTGTGAATCAAGACATGAGTCGTTGAGAACACTTTGCTTTGCAGAAAATGAATTTGTATTTTTTGGTTACTTTTATCACACGGGTGATAAAAGACTGTTAGTTTTGAGCAAAGACAACAGTGAAGCATGATTTAATAGTATTACCAAATTGGAGGGGGGGGGGACACATGGATGGGGGGGGGGGATGGTGAATGGTGGTATGGTTTAAACTATGTTTTGCACTCGCATTTCCAAACTAGTGCTTTATTTGCCAAACAGCACTGTGGTCTTAGTTAGAACATTCTTGGCCACATTATGTGTAGTCAGTTCAGGCTGTATCGTAGCCCAAACAGTGATAAGCCTAACAATGAAAGTTGTTTTTAATGAAACAGGTGACCCATTGCCCTGCTAAACTTTCACTGTGATTGATTTGCTGGTGGTGATATTATGAAAAGACAGCTATGAATCATTCTGGCATTTCTGAAATGTTTTGAAAACACAAGACGGAAGTGGAAGATCAGATGAATAATACAGCGTGGGAAAAACAAAACCACAGGAAACTAATGAAAGCATCTCATTTCATACATTACATCATATTAAAGTTTTTAAAAAAATGTGCTGTCCCTTCAGTGTCCTGTATCATGCGTTAATTATTTAATTTTTGTTTAAAAACACATTTTTTGTAGCAGTTCACATTCATCAGGCATGCAACTTTTCCTCGGATCCGCTGATTTCCTCGTTTTTTTACTTCTCATGAATGCCATTACAAATTGAAAAACACTGTACAAAGTCTTGTGTGGTTTGGAGTTTCCTCGTTTTTAAAAAATAAATTCCCAGTTGCATGCCTGATTCATACAAACAACAGAATATGTGGTTGAGATGTCATATCAATTTGGAACGGTTGATTGCAAATATATATTTTGTATAAACTGCTCAACAAGTAACGTTTTGGGTTGTGATATGTTTTTTCGTTTCTTCAGAGATTCCTGTCTCATACGCGTGAAAGCCCAAGTGATGACGCGTACTGAGGAGGGGTGGGGGCCTCTCGGCAACGGGGGCTACGGCATTGTGGGAATCTACAGGCTGAGCCCCGAGACTAAGAAGGTGGAATACATGATAGTGGGCACCAACTCTGCCAGGGACACGGTAAGTTGGCCGAACTCTCCCTGCACTTTGTGAAGCAAAATAACCCCTGTTGAATACTTTGGTTTTCACTACCCACGTGTGACTCACTTTCCAGAACTGAAACTCTTTCTGTCTTGACATCTTCAAAGTAGCCGATACATAGAGAAACCAGACTTTCACTTTCGCACATTCTTTGTGTCTGAATTGCCATTTGTCTGTATTCGCACAAATGTGTACGATACATTGTATTTACGCTGTGGCTTCAAACATTGAAGATGAGTTTAAAGGCCAAAAATCCACAGACTTGCGTCTGAGGTAGTGACAAGAATGATTCAATTGTAATCCCAACGATGACCCTAGTATGAGGCCACTTCTTTGCCATGGCAACCCATTATTGTCCATCAAAATCTTTGTACGGTGTAATCAGGGTCGTTTATACCCAAAGCGGAGAAATCTGTGGAATGTTACTTTGGTAAACATCGCAGTCACTTTGCTCGCCGGGCGAGTGCCATGCCAAATAGCGTCCAGTCCTGGTTTTTTTTTGCGTTTCCAGTTCAACAAAGTCCCGCTTGTTGGGAAGTGCTGGGCTTCCTGAAGAGTGCCCTTCATTTTATAACTCGCCACCCAACGAGTGCGCCCGATGGATCCCACTTTTGGGTGATTGTGGGCAGTTTCAGTGTGTGTGGCTGCCCACTTGGCCAACAACTGGGCACGTCTTGGGGAATGTTTAGGAGTTAATTTGGGGACCGAAGTGTAACCCACAGTGTTTGTAATGCAGTCACTAATTGGGCCTACAGGCAATTTTTAGGGGGCGGGGGTTGACTTAGCGTGGAGACATGCTTGCACAAAAACTGTAATAATTGGGGCTCTGTTGCAGACTAATTCAGTGCTATTACATGAAGTTGAAACCAGTCACTTGTTACCAACAGGACATGCACGCTGATCTAAAGTGGAGTTTGTAAACTTAACTTTGACTTCCATCGTTCAGTTGTGACAGTTTGTTGCTCGGTGTCTCTACTTATTTTCCAAAAGTATGCACGCGATGTCTTGTCAAGAGATTGTCAAAAGTATGCGTTTCATTAAGAACATATAGTTCTATCATGTCAACCCGACTGATCTCGTTTGTATACATGTGTACTTCGAGAGCAGGGTATGAAGCCTTTGCATTATGGACCCCTTATGCGTATAACTATTATGTTCCTAACGATCACAACAGTTGATGGCCACAGACACAATTGAAATGAGCAAGCTTTGGCAGAAATTGAAGCAGCATTGTGCCGGGCATGTACATGTAAAATGCAGACTGGCATGTATGGAGACATGCACATATTGTCGCCATTTAAAGGCTAGGTGCACCACAAGTAGATACTTCCATTTGGTAATCATTGACTTCCTCCCCAGTGTATGCAGCCCCTACCTGACTGATGCCAAATAACTGTATGGCTGGCATTTGAGATATATCGCAGTGCTGCAGTTCATGTACAGTGCGATTTTGCACATATGTATACAATGTATACATATACATGTACATGTGCACAAAAATGCATTGTAATACAACCAGGCTAGAGTCTACATGTACACATGTACACCATTTTATTTTATTTTTCAATGATATATTTTTTTCATTTTGAAATTGAGGTACACTACATGTACATGTACATGTACCGTACAATGACCATACCGTATGTGCATGGGTGTACATGTACATGTATGTTTTCTGATGGCAGGTAGCAACAGCAAATCTGTAAAAAGTACAGGGATGCAAATTAATTCGCTATAGACAAGATCGTGTCAATGTAAAATTGTCATGTTTTTAAAATGTTCATTATTATTTTAGTTCAGGTTTTTACAAGTTCATGATATCTGAGTTTGTTGAACATGTACAGTTCTCCATGAATTATATACATGTACATGTAATGTGGATTTTGAAATGGCTTATTGTGTGTTAGATAAATTTACATTATAATTCAACTAATTAATTTCTAAGTTGAACTAAGATGTTGTTGGAGCTGGGTTTCAACTTGCGAGCTCAGGATTGCCTAACAATGTCTTTGTTCGAGACGTTGAGCAAATGAGCTACACAACTTGTATACGTAGATGTACTAAACATGTACGGTAAGAAAGTACATGGAGACCTGTATATATATGTACACATGTACATGTACATGTACATTACATTATGAATTTCAAATGAGCCTCAGAATGGAGGACAATTGGAAACATACATGCAGAGGATTGAAAACAGAAAGAGCCCTCCAATGCTGGAGCGCTGTATTTGATCTTGTGGTTTTATTTTTGGTTTGCATCACTTGGGCTTTGAAAAACATTGCTGTAAATGATTGTCCCTTTCCTGTACATGAAAAAAATGTCCCCCTGTGCTGTGAATAAACTGTTCCTTTTTTGGAGGAATGTATAGATCTGTTAGAATTGGTTTAACACTGTGGGTTCCTGTTAGTGGATCTGATGAAAAGCGAACTAATTGCCTGACTGACTCTGAATGAGAGTTCTTCCTGTCGGCTGCCCTCCTCCATCCAGTCAAAAGACACCCAGTGGCTGGGCCTGGCTTGTGGGGCATCAATGCCTCCATTGTATTCAGTGAAGTGTGGGATGGAATAAAGGGTCCCCAGACTGTTGTTGAGCAGTGTGGTAATTTACACAGGAAGAGTCACCCCATTTTGTGGTTTAGGGTCCCTATTCAAACTCAAAGCCCTGAACAGTTATAAATATGTGGCTGTATGTGGCATTCATTTCAATCAATTGTAGAAGTTACTGTACAGTTGCAGTGGGGTTTGTGGGAGCTTAAATCTGTTTGTGTTACAGTTGTACAGATGTAGAGATGTTAGGCCTATAGCATCATGCTACATTGTACACTGTGTGCTGGGTCATATTATGTACAGTAGTTCCTACATAGTACATGTACATGTGAAAGTGATATTTTGCTGAACATGTGGAAGTACATGTACACATGTATGTACATGTACACGATATTCCGTATACGGTACACATACAGATATTTTAACATATTTATGTACGTGTACATGTACACTATAAATGGCCAGTTGATGTACCGTATTGTACATATACCGGTAGATATCAATACATGCACAAACTACAATGTACATGAATGGGTGTACATGTATACTGTACATCAGATCCCAAGATTCCTTCAAAGTTCAATCTTAATTCCTTACTTACATTGTAGTTCTACTAAGTAGAAGACCATGTCCGTCAAAATCCATCTCTCAGTCTGCTACTCTGCTTCACATAACGTTTCAGGACCAAATCCGTTGAAATCCACCTGTGGTCACATGACGTGGTTGATTTCGATGGACTTGGTACACATGGCTTGATCTGCCAAACTCCCCCCAAAAGTTTTTGTTCCCTAACAGAATTCTGCTCTCTCCTTTCTGCCCAAAAGCAATTTCGATGGCAGTTATATACTTACATTTGTACATGACTACATGTACATGTACATTGTAAACACAACTTACGAATACAATAAAGCGAATTTAACTGAAGTTTAGAAACAGCTGTTATACTGTTTTTATTCTCAAAGTTTTATAAAGTCCGTACAAAATGTTCACGTTTTGGGAAATAAACTCTTCATATCCAAATGTGCAGTTTATTTCTAGCTTTTGCCGTCTGACAACTCTTTGATTCCGGAGGACCTGCATGTAGCAGGCTTCTAACTTTCTGGTGGACATTCCTTTCACCATGGTGTTAACGTCACTTTGCATGTTGTTCTTTCAATCCATATGTCTAGGCATGGAAGCTTGGCATCTCAGGGTTGAAAACAGTGTGTTGTTTGAAAGCATGTGTAGGCACCATTGTATGCATGAATGGTTCCATTCACCGGATATCGGAATACATTCAAAATAGAGGATCTTCCATGATTCTCAAATTAATATATATTTTCCTGCCTGTCCACCCCTGGAGTAAACGGAGGGGATGGAGGTAATTATAGACAAAACATGGTAATTTTTGGAATTTTAAACAACTGTACCGGTATGTGTTCTTTCAAATTGTGCTCGAGTTTGTATTGATATAACAAAGACAGATTTTTATATTTTATTGTTGTTTGGTTGAGTAGGGAGCGATCATTCCCTTTGTAGAATTTTTATATAAATATGTAGTTTCGGAGGTGCTGTTTGTTTGTCATGTTCATGACTGATGTTCTTTTGGCATTGTTTCTGACACACCCTCTCTTCCGTTTCTCTGCGCAGAGGCTCATGGACTGCCTTTTACGACGCGACGTGGAATACAACAAACCGACGCCGACCTTCAGACATTGGAGGACGCAAGACTCCAAGTTTGGACTGACGTTCTCCAACCCCTCCGACGCGAGAGCCTTCGACCGAGGATTCGCCAGAGTTGTACAGGAACTTGACGACGGTTTGTACCAATTTTCTTTTATGTATTCATGCATTTTCCTAATATCAGAAACAGAGGCTTGGGCAAACTTGTTACTAAAGGTAATTATACAACATTTGTTTTTGCTGTCATTTTCAGAAATGGATGAATCTGGAGTTAGTATTTTAAAGCAGTTATTGATAATCTGACCTGTGTATATTCAACACCAACAGTTTAGGCCATGTGCATGCCACTTTTTGTGCATGCCGCTTCCCCCAGCTCCAGTATAAGTTACTGTCAACTTTCGGTTTGATGAGGAAAAAGGAAGCAATTGAAATGAATCGGCACTAGAACCAAATCACTCTTTAGTGGGTCACATTTCAAGAGACAGTTCATATATTTTTGTGGCTTCTTTTTTGGCTTGGGGTCGTTTTGATCTTACCGGTAACTCTTAAAGTATGAAATTGACAATTTAAAGTAATGGGCAATGACATTTGGGTAATCTCTAGGGGGTGCCTTTATAAGTTAATGTACATCACTTTAAGAAAGTAGGGCTGTGTTGAATACATACCAAATATCCAATCATTCACGGCATATCTGAATAGCATTTTATCAAGTAGAATATTATTTTTTAAAAATGTGAGCCCTCCTGAGAAGATGACGGAAAAAAACCTGTGATGTAATTTTTTTCTTTTTTTTATATTAAAATCCAGTTACTAACTGAGATAGAAACATGATATCTGTAAGATGATGCCAATCTTGAAATGTCAAAATATTTTTATCGGTTCCAGAATTTTGGGATTTGCCTAATTCTGGATTGAAAATGACCATTTCTGAAATGGAAAACCTCTGTGGTGGAAGTCCTCATAATGATGACCGTTGACCTTCATCTGAAATGTTTCTCCTTACTTAGTCATCGTCTCCAAACAGAAACGAGTTTAATTATCCTTTATGTCGTATTAACCTCAACCTTCCCAAATCCCGCAAAATCCTCTTTGCCAAATGGAGGATTTTCCAGGATTGAGGCTATATGGCACAAAGGCGTGGCTGATTTTGGGCGGACCTTGTGTTGTTTATGCTCAGCCATGCACAAATTTAGGCCTAGATTATACTTTAATCCTCCGCACCGCTCCAGGATGTCACTGGCTCTGCCTCAACGTATTGACAGTGATTGCTGGAGGATTTTGCAGGATTGAGGCAACGGTCACCCCTCCAAGAACCACATTCAAGAAACAGATGATTGTGCAGGATGGAGGATGTCTGCTGTTTTTACATGGAGGAAGTTGGAGGATTTTGCAAGATTGAGGTTGCAAAATGCCTCTAGAGAGAGTTAGGGTTAACATAGTGCTGCTGTGGTCCTTGACTTTCATATTGAGTACAGTTGACTCTCGTTAGTACAAACTCTGTTAATACAAAATTCTGGTTATAACAAACATAAGGCCTTGGTCCCAACTGTGCATTTATTTGCACAATAAATGGGACTGATGTTCCTCTTAATACAAAATTCTGATATAACAAACAATTTGGCTAGGTCCGAAGGAGTTTGTATTAACAAGACTCGACTGTATTCATTTATTTACAGTGTTCACAAGAGAGCCTGAAAGCAACTTTTCAACTTTAAAGAAAAAATGGTCGGGCGACCCTCAAGTTCATGATGTTGATACTTTTGTACATGATGAATGTGTCCCTTGTGGAAAGTTTGATGCTGCAAACTTTTTAATATCTGAATTGATTGATTAACATTCAGCTCTAGGCTTTCTGCATGTATTCTGGACTCCCTGTGTTCATTGCGCTCTGTGGATATTTGAAGACAAGTTCTGATGGCTGTTTTGCTGGACATACACTGTACATGTACATTCTGTGTTTGCCTATACAGCTTAAAAGTTTTCGCTGTTCAGTCTTCACTCAGTTAGGGGGCACCTCAATACAAGGGAATAATTTGGAACAATAAGAAAAGCAATTACAGACAAACTTAAATTTCAGAATGTGTTACATGTAAGGTCTACATACGTAAAGAATAAATGCATCAAATTGAATGAAATTACACACAGATGAAAGTGCCTGTTGTTTCCCCCCCCCCCCTAAAAAAAACCCCAAAAATTTAAGAAGCCCACAGCAGATTTACTTCAAGATAGTAACATTTTTGGCTGCTGTTCAAGTAAATATACTCATTTCAATGTCACAATGGCAATGTTTTGGACTTTGTGATATTCCAAACTGGAAGTTGTGTCAAAAGGTCTGCGTCTAATTTTAGTACTTGTATTTGGTGCTTGAGTTCCCAGAGTTCACACGAGTACAGTACGTACTACGTGTTTCATGTTTGTTTGGCCACAAATTTGATGTTTGCTCAGATTTCACCTCTTCAGATGTGGATAAGAAGAGATTGTTTTGTTTGGAAAGTTTTTGGTAATTCTGGCAGACCAAACATCTCACCTAACATTATAAACTACGTACTGTACCCATACAATCCATTGCACCTGACTGCATGATATGATGCCGACTCTTTGGTAACAATTGAACGAAACAAAAACAATGTTGTTTCTTACGTGTAAGTTAAAGTTGAGCAAAGAAATCGACTGGAGCAGGGTTTGAAACTGCAACCTCCGGATGTTCGTCAGAGGTTGCATAGTTGAAACCCTGGTTCAGTTGACTTCAACTTCTTTGTTCGACTTTGAAATATACAAATGTACATGAATTATTACAATGCACCTACCATACATGTAGGCAGTTTGCCTTTGTTGTCTATTAGAAATTTGTTTCGACTTACTTGAAATGTCATCAGAGATTGATTACAGTAATTCAAGTACATTGTACATAACGTATACATGTACATGTACATGAAATGTATGTACATGTACATGTACTTTGTACAGGATGTATTCACTTTTATTCAGTACATGTCATTTAATGTACATGTACGCATGTGTACATGTACAATGACAACAGATGATGTACATGTACGCATGTACATGTACATCATGAACATGTTCATGTGCAGTTAATTGCTAGTCTTGCACAGTGTATCCGGGTACATGTACGGTACCGGTATGTGTACATTGTACAACAATACAGATAGGCCTGTGTGCATGATGTACATGTATTTGTGCATCAGTTAGATAACCTCATCACTATTCATATTGCAGTTCTAAGAAGCGCACAGGAAGAGGAACTGAGTTGATGTGTACATCACCCAAGTCCTGTAATTAGACCTGCCTCCTCTGAAAGCTTCAGGGAGATCCCTACAGTGATAATGAGGAAGGCTCATGGGGGCACTGTGGAAGGCTTCAGATATGTATACATGTACATGTACGCATGTACCGTATTGTACAAAATGTATGTACAGTACTGGTACATGTACATGTCTATATTTAAACATGTAAATGATTTCAATATGAACAATTGTACAGAGACAGAAATTTATACATGTACGGGGTACATGGTACCGGTACATGCACCGTATATGTTTCATTACGTACAGTGTACGTGGAAGTTGTACAAATCACAGATGTACAGTACCGGTACGTGTACACAAACATGTGTCTTTCAAAAAAAAAACATGTGTAAAATGACACAGATACATGTACACGTACGGTACTTGTGCATGTACAATGTTAAATTGTAAATTACATGTAGGGTAAAACCCCCTGATGTATACATGTTCAGTGTACAACATGTAACAGGTACCGGTACTATACATGTAGGTACATGTGTACACATTTACCGGTATGTCAAAAATGAACAAACTTGACTTTTGTTTGTACATGTACATTTTGTACAATGTACATGTACATGTACATTTTGTACAATGTACATGTACACTTGCACATGTACGTATGTTACATGTAGGTACATACATGTACACATGTAATTCTCGTTTGCCCAGCCTGCGTAACACATTGTGTGGTATAAAGGGTGATGTGTGTGTTTGTGCCTGTGAATTTGGCAGTGACAGCGGAACTAAGCCTCCAATCTGGCCCAGCGAGTGAAATGAGAGCGCAGAGCGGTAATTGATGGAATGACTAGTGTAGCAGGATGTTCATGGTCAGCAAGCCAAACCTGTACGTCAAGGCCTACTTCCTGTCTCCTGTGCCATTGTGTGTGTGTGTGCACAGATGTGTGCATGTGCTGCACTAGAGAAGTCGGTGCCTCTATATCCTCACTCATAAATAGCACTGTCAAAAGGTCAAGGAGACAACTCTCCAACAGTCGGATTTCCCTCCTGACTTCCACCCTGTCTCCCTCCACCCCTCCTGTCATCTGTTGATTCTTTGCCGATGAGAGAAGGATTTTCGGGAAGGCAAAGAGTTTGTGTGTGTGTTTTTTTCCCTTCCATGTTCCAGCTATAGACAGGCATGCAACTTTTCCTCGGATCAGCTGATTTCCTCTTTTTTTACTTCCCATGTGTGCCATTGAAAATAGAAAAACACTGTACAAAGTCTGGGAAAAATTTGAATTTCCTCTTTTTTTTGTGACTTCCCAGTTGCATGCCTGTATAGAACAGTTCAGAATACAGTGACCAAAATGTGGAATCCACCCTCTGGCTGGTAGGGGTATACATGTACCTCATACATGTACATGTAAATTTGCAGAGAGAGAGAAAAAAAACGATTACCAGTTATGATGCGAAGCAGTGAAGCTTCTCTAATACTTTACAAATAACACTTTGGAATACCCTGAGAATGGTCTAAACCCAACAGCTCTTAATGCCTTTTCACACTGGAGCCTCCCAAACCGGGTTGAACTCAATCCTGGGTGAACCCAGGGCCGCCCCGGGTTGATTTTTTTATATTTTTCAACCCCGCGTTCACCCCTGCGCCGGATCAAAGGTGTCTTGTGTCTTGCAAACCAAGCTTATTTCGCTCAGTTACTAGTGTTTCGAACCCTGGCAAGAGTTTCAAACCTTGGTTGAAAATCTCAACCCTGGTCTGGAGTAAGGTTGAGTTCAACCCTGGGGTGAAATCAGTCTCAGGTTTGCGCGGGGTTGGCGCAGGGTTGAAAAGTTTCAAGTGTGAAACGCCGCATGTTTTCAATCCCGCGTCAAC